CCAAAAAGTAAAACAAAGCAAGTAAACAACAAACAATTAAACAAACAAACAAACAAACAAAAAATCAAATAATCAAACAAACTAATAAATGCACATTCGAGTACAGATTTGTGTACGTGTATTTCTACCATTGGAAAGATGCGTATCAAACGAGAGTCACGGTATATGGTTATTTCACTCACCATGTTATCATTGTCTTGCACAGACTCAATGGCACCGTCTTGGCCATAATTGTCCACTTCAAGAACCTGAACAGACCACAGAATATGTTTGTATGAGTCAAAGAGACACGCATCTGCACTACAAATATAATGTAGCGCCGAAAAAAGCAAGACAGCATACGCTAGTAAAAGGCACATATTACCAGTTATGAAGAATACACAACTCAACACAACACCATAATATTCTTAACGACTACGAAACACGCGTTGTCTTAAGCCAAGACTGCACAAGCAGTTTTTCTATAACTGGCAAAACTAAACTGTAGAGAAAACGTTTGAACGTTCTCCACGTCAAGTTATCGGTATGAACTCCTTGAGGTCAGCTGCTGATAGCACGTATCGACTCCCAATTTCTCCCTCACTCGTGGTATGTAAATTATACTTGTTCTTCGTATTGATGTTCTTGACACTTCAACATAGTTCAAATCGATCGCAATTCAAGTGAGTACTTGTATCACTTTTACGATTCGCCAGCTTTGAATTAGATCTAAAGTTATTTTCTTTTCAGGCTGCCGTCACTTTCTTACCTAATTTGATCTGCAACAGAAGATTTGAAAATAAATACGTTTAACGAATACTCTTTTTGAAGAATCTCATTCTTAGGCAATGTCCATAAGTTTCAGACATGGCATGAAACTTGTAGCAAATCAACATTTAATTTCATATCTTAAGTCATACTAAAAAATGTATGAACGAGTCACATTCTTTGTGGATATTATATTAAAATAAAATGAATCATCTACTAATACATTATAGTAACAAGACGAAAACGCATTTGTATTGATAAATTCGTGACCACAAGGAGTCTCACCCTCCCCATAGGCTAGTTTTGACATAATTATAGAGAGCTAAAACATCCATGGATTACGCCCCCTAGCCTTACCTTATTCCCCTGGTCCGGCAGTTGTTCCGCCAACTGATCCTCATCCACGACATTCCTCACCACACCCACGTTCTGACGCCGCCGGTGCTCTTTCTTCGCCCCCGCCCCACGCTGAGGCTTGAGAGGCTTAAACAACATGCTGTCCTCATGATTCCCTCTAATGTCTGCATGGTTCTCCTTTCTGACTTTGACGTCAGCAATCTCTGATGGCGCCTGGACTTTGCCGTAGTCGCCCTGACGGTTGAACTCTTCCAATTGGCGCCTAGAGAGAATATTATACAATTTCGCTGTTACGAGTTGTAAGCCCATTTCCTGCTTTGTCGAAACAAGTTTAGTTTGAAATATGTATACGTTAGCATTTACAGCATAAAAAGAATGGTGTCAAGCTACAATCACGTATTATGCATCAAATTTTAATTCTAAAAGAAAGATTTGATATATGAGGACACTGTTGCGGTACAGGCTGCAGATATTGGTAATACATTTAGGAAAACAAGAAAAACAATATCGTAGTATGTAGTAAGTGTAAAGTGTATATGCCAACTTCTAAGGTTAATAAGTATTGGCGTTACGACGAGGGCCATGCGATCTGGAATGGGATTAGTCTACATGAGTCACAACAATTTCTTTTGAAAATACAATCGTTCAGAAATATAACTGACCAGAAATTGTGTTTGTTTTTGCTATATGTCGACTATTATGCTTCAGTTGTAATTGTTCCCTGTCGTTATTCCGTGATGAATTTTCATTTGAAATAAATTCTCTAACCAGAGACCCTGAGAAAGGACATGGTTTTTTTTTTTTAAATGGCGTTACCGAAAGTCAAGTCTAAAAGATCATAAAACCTACAGCAATCTAAATTGTGGTCATCTTGCAGAACACTTTCACTTTAGGCATATGCGTGGGCAGTTCTTTGTGTGTGGTGAGCTAATACGCAAAAACGCCGCTTAATAAAGTAATATTATGGTTTGACTAAATACCGTTGGTTTTGTGTATAAATAGTTAATTTACAATAAATACTCCTATACCTCTTTAGAGGTATCAAGCTTTTATTGCTGACCATGGCTTACTGAAACTGCCTCCCTTCTGAGGCCCTACTTCCCGGTCTCCATTAGACAACAGCTATGGAATAATTTACTCACCTATTTAAGAATAATAAGGGTCTGGGTTTAACGCCCATATCACTATCAACATTGTTAGGTTATCGAAGAGACAGAACTTCCGAAATTAACGTCCATCTCCCATAAGATCGATCCAAATGGGCTGATAGTCTTGAAAACTCAACAATATGAACCAAGCTAAAAAAAAACACCCACTCAGGTATTCAAATCAGGGCCATCCACTCTGTAGTCCAGCATTATACCAACTGAGATAGCAATGCCTTTTAAAAATCGAAATACAAAAAAAATAGCTCAAAAGTTTGTCGTAACCTGTACTCGGCCTGCTGCACCACTTGAGCGTTGTAGACTGTCCACAGGATGACCACAAGCCACACAGAAGGTACAGCCACCAAAATTGTGCGCAGGGAAAAGACGCGGCACGGCCTTCTACGGAACGCTTGGAAGGAGGCCATTCACAGAGATCTGAATACGTTCTTCCTTCTATCTCTTGTTCTCCTTCCTTTCATCCAATCCAACTGTTCTTCTTCTTCCCTTTCTTTCTTTCCTTCCCTGTGTGAGACGTCTGTGTTGTGTCTCCACGTCTGAGTCCCCAGACCGACGGGTTGTCACGCAGACGAGCTGTTTGTCAACTTGTCATGTTGTTTTTCTAGATTGAAAAATACGAAAACAAAATGTCTAGCAAGAGTTTGAGTATTGTATAAGCACAGAAGGTTGGGTTTGACTGACGGTGCAAGTGCAATGGATATAAAAAGAGAAGAAAACACACTAGTGGAACAGTTCGAAGAAAGAAAGAACGACATGAGGAAGGAATACCCACACACACACACACGCGCGCACGCACACACACAC